CCAATTTCCTAGGGGAAACACTGGTCTCGTGTGACAAAATAATGAGTCAGTAAAATTATCCTCAAATGTAAACAGAGTCAGGACAACAATGGAGCCAGAAAAACCAGGTCAAAAGTGAACTTCTCTTCTCAAAAGTTGAAAACTTTTAGCAAAAGCAATGCTAAATTCTGACTGTGAGCAAATTTAGTTGTGAACCTGGTTTATGTTCAACATCGCTTTGTTTTAATTTTGTTGTCTGGACTATTTGTGTGTTTATTTAAATGCTTTATGGGTTTGTGATGGGTCAACTTTGGTTGTATTAAATGTGATTTGCAAATAAAGATTTTCTGATTTGAAAAACATAAACAGAAAAGAGAAAAGGCCTCTCCGAACCGGTCCTTCCAGGATTTTGCAAACTGTTTTTGTGATGGTTGTGACCTAAAATGTTTGATTTTGAGATAGATTTTTTTTAGAAAGTTATGGTCAAAGTTGGTGACAGTGCTGACAAAGGGAGAGGTTGGCATTTTTAAACAAACACAAACAAAAGCACTTACATTTTCCGTATACTCTCTTCTCTAGAGATTTTTAATGGCAATATAGAAAGCAAATGTGATCATGGAATCAAATATGTTTTTGATGTTCATCTTCGACTGATGATAGTAAAAGCAGGCAGGAGGCTGAAATGATCAGTTTTTTCAAAGTCAAAGTCATTTTTCAAAATTGCAAGTCTGACCAACTTTTATCACAACTGGTTGACTTTGTATTAGTAACAAGATGGTGATCGACTCCTGGAGGGAATTTAAATCACAGATTTTTTTCAGGTGTTTTGGTAACGCTACCAATAATTTGTGATCTCTTCATACCAAATTGTGACTTAAATAAGAAATATATAAAACAGACTTAAGGATCAGATATAGTCGCACTTCACAGTGTTGAGCAGGGCTCAGCTGACAGACCTGAGCAAGTAGCATAGGTGTTTATACCTGACGCGTACATTAGTGCAGTATTCTCCAAAAGGACATGTGGCGGATTGCTTTGTAACTTGTGGAAATGTTGTAAAAAGGAGAACAAATACTTAAAGGACAAACAAACTATCTGAATGGAGTTTGGCGTGCACAGCATCATGTGCCAAGCTACAGAAATTGGGAAGTATAAGACCAGGCGCTGCAACACGGCGCGACGCTAGTGCGCAGGGATGGCATACACACCCTCAGGCTGCATTCAATGCCTTAAACTAGCCTAAGGAGACGGTGGTATTAATTAATTTGAGCTAACAGCAGATATAAATGGAACAAAACCACTAATTTAAGGCCCTTTGAAATCTGTTTTATTTTTTCCCAAATTCCACTTTTCTGTTTTTATTTTTCTAAATTCCGTTTTTCTGACTTTTTTTACTCCACATTTTCAATGCCATGGCTAACCTACATTTTTTCTTCTATCTGCGTTAAAAGAAGAGCCCACCTGCATGTGTGCAACCAGGTAACAGAAAGTACAGGGGGAGGCTTGGCCAAAATACCTCAGAAACTTTACCTACTCACCCACACAAGCAAATTCTATGAAAGTCTACAGTTTGTACCGGATTTAATTTATATACATATATACATATATATATATATATATATATATGTATATATATATATATATTCCACAATTTCATTTACGTTCTCTGAATCACAGAAACAATTGGGTCCAACTAATGCAACTCAAACTGAAAAATCTTGTATAAAAACATGTTTTTTCCTTTCATGAGAACTATAATACTGTAGTAGGAATCACAAAACTACACTGGGACACACATTTATTTTCATGTTAAATAGGATGATTCAGGTGTTTTGTTCTAGCTTTATTTCTTGTACTCATCCCCTCTCAACTCCAAAAACAGTCCAGCTGTCTGTGTGCATCATGTGAGCAAATATCTCACCTACTTCTAAACGCACACAGACATGCTGATGAGTATCTCTTCATCACTCTTCTGAGAACCCAAACAACTCATTTAAAATGCTGAAGCAGTAATTACTCTTTCATAAAACTCTAAAGAAACAGTTGTTTATGAAATGTCTTAGCAATAAGTATGGCTGGGCTGTAATGTACCATAACAGGATGTAAATCAGGGTAATGCTGTCAGAAACAACCTGCTGCAAATTTCCTGACTATTTTTCACAATTTTATCTCCTGAAGGGACTTTATGACTACTTATTAGATGGCATTATCAACTGGATGGTGTTGTAAAGCCACTGATTTGTTCTTACGGTCTACAGGAGGTTTTGGTTTCATCTCTTCTTTTCAGCTGAAGTTCATGTTGTGGTATTTCCTTCAGATGATGTTAGTGCGTACAGAATGGGGAAAGTACACCAAGCAGGTAGTTCCAGGTAATTCCAGTGATTACGAAACTCTGAACCACGAGGAAGGATTCTATTTAACAGGTTTCTATTCACTAAATCCAGACAAAATTTACAGTTTTATTCACAAGGATTCTGATAAACAGTTAAAAAAAACATTTAGCCTAAAAACAAAACAAGCAAACTGATACATGTACCTTCAGAATATTCAGAAAGACCAACGTTTAATTATCTTTCATCAGCAGGTCTCAGCTGCTTGTGTGGGGTCATATCAGTTCAGTGGGTGGTCCCACAGTGGGGCTCAGGATGAGTTGTGGTCTGACTACCAAACGTATGCAGATACAAGTAACCCAGACCACCTGGTCTGAATGAAAATGTTTTCAATGCCCACAGAGGCCGTTCACACGTGTATTTAGCTCTATCAGAATTCAATCTGATCACTCAGAATGGCAGAATGGATTTTAGAGCCAGGTGTGAACAGGGTCTCTATGGGGTCTTTCATAAGACCCCCCAAGCCTGGACTTGGATGCTTTCTGACTGCGTCTGTGTTATTTCTGAAAGGACCGAGGCGGGTTGAAGCAAAGCAAGCCCCTGATGTGCCTCTGTGCCGTGACGAGAGGTAGTAACAGAGCAGAAACTGCAAACAAGTGAAACTGGAAGCCAATAATGTGATGAGGTCAGGACATCTTGTCTCTGCGTCCAGCCAGTCGTGGGATTAAACAAGAACAGATTTATGACTGAGGGAAGATCGATGATGACGTACAGCAACTTTACATTGTTTTAAAAAATAGTTAACCACAAAGAGAATTGCTAAACATAGTTAATTTGTCACATTTTGAAAACAACACAAAGCAGACATCAGTCACACATTTAATGAGTTGCGTTCCATTTCTGAAAGCTCACATCTGTGCAGGACACAATCCGCTTCATTGGTTATTTATGAACGACCAAGGGCGGCATAAACACAAAGCTGACCTTTGAGGCTGTTTTGTGAAAAGAGGTTTGTGAAACCAGTAAGAGTGCATAAGCATTTACTGGATAGCCTCTATGTGTACTAATCTGACCAGCACTGAATCTATTATTTGACCTGTGAATG